CAAGACGCCGATTTTTCTTTGCCGTGATCCGCAACCCGATCGCCAGCCGCCGCAATTTGGCGAGCTTCTGCTTAGGCACCTCAAACACACCAGCTGCCGTATTGATCGTAATGCCTAAATGGTACACTGACTGCGACGGCTCCCACTGGCACTTGGTGGGGTGGCACGACAACCCCAAGAACTCGATACTCTCACGCACCCAGCGCGCACCAAGACGCGCTTGCTCCTCAGAACTAAACACGAAGAGGAAGTCATCCAAATACGGCAGCACTCGCGCACCCGGACGAGAAGGACGCCCTGTCCGGGAAACGGGAAAAAACTGGTGGGGCGGGAGCGGGGGCGAGAGACGCTTGCGACCTTTACCCGACGCAGCCAAAGGATCCCGCCAAAAACGCACCACATTGCGCATGATTTTTGTAAACCAATACGGGCTATTTAGCCACCCCATAGGCAGGGCGTTCATCTCGTACAGAACACCACAAAAACGAAAAGTGAAGAAACGCCGATCCGCTGGGCGAATAGGGATGTGGTAAAAGGCGTCTGCCAAATCCACCTTCACCATCCAAGAGCCCTCGAGGCCCATACGCCGCAGGGTGCGGAGGGTTTCGTACCGGCACTTGTAAGCTTTCTGCGCTACGTTCATCCTCTTCAAGTTGACGACCAAACGCCATGAACCACTGTCCGGTTTCGGGACACAAAAAGCGTTCACCACATGATCAACCGCACGGGAGGGGTCTACCCGCGAGATGGCCCCGAGCGCCACCAGGCGAGGCTCCTCCTTCTCCAACCACCAACGGCTCTGCTCGTCTGTAGCAGGAAAACTTGGCAGGTCAAAAGCAGGCGGCGGGCGGTTACCTCGAAACTCCACCGGGACACCATGCTTCAAGACGTGCAATGTGCGCGCATCTGCTCCAATTGCCTTCCAAGCGGCCAGCCGCGCCGAGGCCCTAGCATGCAGGGGCACGGAGGTGGTGGACATATCGGGCTACTCGTGCTGCCCCGGAAACTCCACGCCTGGGGTTGTAGAGCCCGTCGCCACGCGGAAGGGATGGGACGAAGCGCACACATAGCCACCACCGGTGTGGGCGGACGTCGATTTCCTGATCCGCTGAAGAGCAAACCTTCAGCGTCGCGCCCAAACCTCGGGGATGAGCTTGATGAAATACGTCGTCAAGAGGACATTTAGTGTTGTAGCTGCAGGGGCAAGCTTGTTGGGTCCGGGGTGGGCGGGAGTTGTTGACCCGCTCCGGAGAAAGCAGGGGGCATAAACTGCGTCGCAGAAGCCCTCGAGGAAATGCCAGTCTGTGAAATTCCAGTTAGCTATGTAGGATAGCTGTGAGTTGCCTCCACCAGCGGAGTCATGCCTAGCGATACCGGGACATCCGCCGCCACTAGCACTACTAAAGGTGCTTCAATAAGGTGGGCTAACTCTATGGTGCTAGTGCTTTATATTCTCCACTGCACTCTACCCGATGGGTCTCGCTGACGAGCCGAAGGCACAGCGGTGTAGTAACAGAAAGCGCGCCGAAGGCGCGGGACCTGTTTTGTTGATCAGCGCGCGCTGAACAACAAAAACAAGATAAGCTAACCAGCCTAATGCGCGCAATAAATGACGGCCCTGAGGACACGGGCCGTTGCGAAACAGTTAGACTAACAGTTACGCATTGGGCCTTACGCCCAACTAACCCAGCTTACTTACGCAAGCTCGCATTATTACCGTTACCGTACGTTGGTTCCATCGGTCATCGAGCCTCAACAGACCATACTGCTCAGCGAATACAACTGCCAATTCTATAAGAGCGCATAATTTTGCGGGATATGAGGTGGCGCGGGCACCTCGCCTCGAACCCAATTGTCGCGTCGTCGAGCAACGCTTGGCGTATAATAGGTTAATTTGGGTTGTCGCCTGGATTGGCATTTGTAGTGTACTACTGTTTTTTGATTAAATTATGGCTAGCATAAGACAATTTGTAGGTTCCAGGACTCTTGTCCATGGACCTCGGCCCGGAGCTTGCGTTCACAACAGGGTCGTGGTTTCCACGATCCAACGCACCGTCTGCCGGGTGCGATTTGATGATTTCTACCACTGGTTGACTTGCTGAACGGGAAATGGCCGTCCAGTACAGCCACTAAGGCCCTAAAGTACGCCAATCCCAGGTTGCCAAGGTTGAGGGCGATGTCACAGTTGAGGAGGAACTTCTGCGCCTGCGCCGCGAAAACGAGCTCCTCCGCCAGCAGCTGGCGCTTTACCAGCAGGCCGCAGCTCCGATTTCGGTAAGGGGTTTTGTCGCGCGGGATCAACAGGCTCTCTGGAAGGCCACGCGCCTGCATCTTTGGGGCATTCCTTTGGGGCATTCCTACACGATAAGCCTCCGAGAGTATTTGCGGTTTGCAACGCAAGGACGGGGTTTGCGATTGTGCCGGTATAAAATTTGGTCTCGGAGCGGTGGATGAAGCGAAAACTCGTTCGGCGACGTATCCATTCTCTCCTCTTCCGCCGCTTCTTGGTTCTGCTCAGATTGATACTCCAGAAAGCGCCGTAAAGTCACAAGCGCCTACACCAGCAGCAGCACGGGTGGAAACGTTGGAGCGTCCCACCGCGACCAAGCAGGTGCGCGTGTGTGTGCGTGTATCTGCTACATTTAAATATACCCGGACCTGACGCTGGTCATGGGCACCTAACCGTGTACCCCAACGGGAACGACCGCCCCGAAGCACTCCATCTATTGTTGGAGGGGCGTTGTAGAGTCCTAACCGTTCCCTCTTATCATCGCAAGCTACATACACCAGCTCAGATGCCAAGCAACCTCTCCGTGCCACCGAAAGCGCATGCTCTACAGCTGCGCGATCTACCAATGCATTCACACCGGTGCCAATCGAGGCCCCTATCCTTGCGGATCCTGCCGCCGCCCGGTTTCGTTATCCAAACCACCGTCTGGCATACAGCCCCTGGTCCGGGCCCCCCTTATGCAGGAGTATTATTCCTCCGCCACTGCTTTTTGCGGCAGTGTATAGAACTTCTAATTGATGGTGAGCTTCCCCCCTCTCCAGCCGCCCAGCGTCTCATCTCAGCATTCGGCACCCCGGTGATCTAATTCACCCCGGGGACCCTAAAACCCTAATCCCCCCCTCTCACTCCCTCCATCACACCCCGATGTAGGCTGCGGGGCCTGAGGCGGGTATTTTGTGGCCCCAAGCCTCCGGGGGGGAGAAGTTCTGGGAGCGGGCTCCCCGCACCGCCCCGGCTCCCCTGGACCGGGGTGCCGTACAGGAGCCCCCAGTGGAGCGGGATGCCAACACGTTGCATGTCGTACACATTACGGCGGAAATGGCGCCCATTGCCAAGGTGCCTGGGTCCGGGGGTGACTGTCTGTCTGTCTATCTGTCTGTCTATCCATCTACCTATCTATGGGGTGGAGAGGCGGGAAGATGAATTCCCTTGTGTGGTGCATGTGTGTGTGTAGAGTCGTTGTGGGCCGTGGTGGGGATGGGAAGCAAATTACAAGTCACAAGGGCCGCCCACACACCCGCGCGTTGTCGTCGTCGTCGTCGTCGTCGTTGTCATCATGGGGCGTCCAGGATAGGGATCTGCGGAGTGGGACCGGGGCCAGGTCAAAGAGGGGACGACGTACTGGCGGTATTGCGTGACATCATCTAACCCACTGAGGCGCGGACGCTGGCGTCCTACATCCCGCTCTCGCCCGGGCTCGATCTGGGGTCTGTTGGTCTCTCTGGTCTTCCAGACCTCCAAGCGAACACTCTCCGACGACCGTTCCGCCATTCCAGCACGCCTCTGGGTTGTGGTCCCGTGAAGACACACCCATACTTTCATAGCTATATACATATCTATATACACATACCTATATTCATACAGACATACACACGTACATACACACATCCCGGCGGCAGGTGGGCGGACTGGGCGACGTGGTGACGGGTCTGGCCAAGGCTGCCCAGGCTCGCGGGCACCAGGTTTGCGTGATGTTGCCCTTCTACGAGTGCCTTCCGGAGGAGGAGATCAAGGGTCTGAAGCACGAGATGGACGTGGAGGTGCCCAAGGGCTACCGCTGGGATGGGGAGATGAGAGTGGGTGAGTGGGGGTGACGGGGGGGGGAGGGGGGGTCTTGGGGTGAGAGTTCACCTCACCAAGACCCGGGAGGAAACTCGGAAACCCCCCAGGTACCGACCCCGCCCCCCACATCCCTACTAGGGCACGAGGCCCTCATGTGAAGCTCACCGGGTCTCTCATCCCGATTCTTAATTCGTTGCGGG